CTTGGGACAAGAGTTTGTGGGATGTAAGGACCCTCCATTACAGATCGAAGGAGGTTTCTGTCCATTCCTTCCAAGAAATTCACCATTCTTTCCAAGAAATTCACCATTCTGATCTTCCATTGTGGATATTCTTCTCGTTGAAGAGTTGGAGGCTTGGTGAGGGAGCCAACGCTATAAGCAGAATTCTAGTTGGCCATTGAGAATTTTGAAGAGGAGGATTTGTGTTTTGACGAGGAAGAAGATCAAAAATTGAGAGATTTTTGTTTGATCGTCTTGATTGGAAAGTCAATCAATCAGCTCTGATACCAATTATTGATCCCAAATCTCTCAATAACACTAATAATCTAGTTAATAATAACCAAATTATAGTGATTTGATGAAGAAAATGAAGAACACTCAAGAAGAAAATAAGAACAATAATGAACAATCTTGAGCGTCAAAGATTTCACTTTATTAATAATAAGAATGTAGAAAAAACTACTTTTATTACAATAGGCCTAATCACCTATTTATACTAATAAGAAGATAACTATCTAATGAAATTTTATAGCTAATCTTCTATTAACAGATAACGTTTATCTAAACTATGGATAAGCTTTAATATCAAAGATAAACTCGAAGTCTAGCTGTTGATTTGTCATCTCCAGCTGTCATTCATGGTGTGATGTATCATTCTTATCTTTAAGTCTTCATCGCATGCTTCTGGATGAATTGCTGGAAAATACTCTAAGTATAGTTGACCAGAGGTTCGATGGAGATGCTCTTTCCATCGCATCCTTGGTCGTCCATCGGTCCTCTGGTTGTGCTCCAGACTTAGCCGTTTTTGCTTTGATGTCTTCATCGGTCTTCTAGTTCTTCATCACTTATTGTTTTTTATTACTTTTTACATTATGAATTATGGGGTTTAACAGGTAAGCTCTTATAGGTAAGTGTTGGATACACGACACGGAGTCATCAGAAAAAGCATAATCATAATCCAGATTTTACTGTACCGTCAAAAATATATTTAGAATAACTAAATTATATAACAACACATGTAGAGAGATCTTACTTCATATAACTTCTCTAGGTACTTATTAAAGATAAATCATCCCAAAGATGATGGAGAAGAGGTCTTATGTGTCCTTTGCTCCTAATAGTTAATGCTCTTATAAGGACTGATCAACTTACAAGAGATGTCAATTTACAATATTTTTGAATATATATTCAACTTACAATCAACTTACATACACCCAATCTACATTCCAATATCAGCAACAGAAAGTCTGTCTTCTTTAAAATATGGACTGTATTTGTATCATGAAGGGTGGAAAGAATTTATTTTAACGAGCATCTTAAACAACTTAGTGGGGTTCCTATTCTTTTCATCCCTGACAATGGAGGTAGCTACAAGCAGGTGAGTTTACATTTTCTAATATGTAATTTAGCGTGCCTTGACGCACTTATAATGATGTACTTTAATAAAGTTTTTTTAGGCAAACTTACTTATGGAGCACTTTGTGAATTGTTAGGCAAGCTTTTTCCACAAGAGATGTTGCTTGTTATGGAGCACTTTGTGAATTGCTGCAAAAACAAAGTCTAAAGTTCCTCCTTGCTAGTCATGTTCCAAATAAACACAGGAACAATAAGCAACTAAAAGCGCTTATTTTTTGGTTCCTACATGCGATTGATATTTGAGTTGTTTTCATGTACACCTTTTCGGACATGAATATGGTATCTGTTACATTCTGTTTCTTTTGCCCATAGATACCCTATTATTATTATAGCATCTGGTGTTTGGAGAGAAAAATACATTATTTAAATCAAAATTGGGTTATGTTGGATTTTGTATAAAGTTCATTGCTTAAACAAGAAATAAAGGATTCATATAGAATGCTTAATGAATTGGAACAAATTTTGTGTTCAATGTATGTAGTGACTACAGACTACTACAAACCTTTTTAGTAATTTCTACTCAGATCATCAAACCTAATCATTTTGTCTTGAATTATTCTAATAGTCTCTTGGTCATCATGGTCATCAATGTCGCGTTCCTCATCATCGTCATATTGTGAGTAAGTGTCGTCGGTATTGGTAGTTGGCGGCGTGCTTAGTCCCATGTTGATTTCATTTTCTTCCAAATTTTCCTACACCGCTTCAATCTCCATCTCTAACGACGTCGTGTGTTGAATTCTATCAACACTATCCAAGTAAGAGAAAAAGCAGACTCTGAAGCTACGGTACTAGCTTGGATTGTTAGTATATCATGTGTGATGCATGCCAAAACCGGGAATTGAGGTTGTTTTTGTTTCCAAAAATCTAATAGATCAATTTTTTCAAAATCTTCGACATCATTTGCACATACATATTTAGTTCACCCAAACTCGTTATCAAATCGACTTTTTTTACTTGATTCATTTAAAACCTCGTTCATTAAATTAGTCATCAACTCTTTCCGACTTTGTCGATGACCACTAGAAGAAGAACCATAACCCACAAACCCACGACTTGAAGAGCTTTGTTGTTGCTTTTCTCATCCATAAAAATGTTTGTAATGATCATTTTTTTTTTTGAAAATTACGATTAAACAAACGTTTTTATTCCGTTGAAAAAGAATTACCCGTAGCCATATCTAAACCAGAAACCACACATATTTTTGTAATTAAAACTTTAACATCGATAACATTTAAATACGAGTTTAACGCCGCAACACAAAGAAAAACAAATGGGATGCTCATAAAGTATTTTAACATTTTTTTTTCATTGAACTCGCCAACCTTCCCCAATCATGATGGTCTTCGTATTGGGCAATCTTACTTGCCAAAATATATAATTGGTTTAAAACTAAATGGTTTGTTGGATAATAAATACTGGATAAAAGTGTTGTCGCATTTTTTAAACCGCCTAAAATATCATACAATCCTTCAATCAAGGTTCAATCAAGATTTTCAATAGAATTTTGAGGGTAATGGTGTCTATAAAATAAATAAATATAATTTTTTTTGTTTTATCAATTTTTCAATCATAAAATAAGTCGAATTCCAACGAACGGCATATCGAACCTCGGTCCCAAAGCTTTCTGAATGTACTAAATAAGCCTTTTCAAAAACTGAAAACTATAGGGGGATTAATTGCAAAAGTTGCAAGTGTAAGGACTCAATTGTAATTTCCAATTTCGTTATTCGTTAATCCCTTGACCGCCGACTTGACTATTTTGATTGCATTGCCAACACTCGAATTCTCTTCCCGTAATTTATCTCCGTCGACCACCGTGCCGCAACCCTAAAATACGGTTACCAACCAAAACCGTCGTCATCTTCTGCGACTGCTTTTTGTAGATTGGATTAAATCGATCAAATGGCGTTAACGAACCTCATACTAACCGTGGCAGGAGTGAGCGCAGTGATTCTACTGATGAGGAGCGATGTGAGGCAGTCGGCTTCCATGCTCAAACGCAACGTTCGTCATATTCGCCACTGGCTCGAAGAAGAATCTGCATCCGCTGCTAAGTACGTTTTTCATACACACAGATTGTTTCATTGTCTTGAGTACTTGCTGCTTGAATTATTAACTTTTGTGTGTTGGACTTCCTATATAGATCTATAGATTATTAACTGATGTGCTGTAGAAAGCATGTAATTCTCCATTCGTTTCACGATTGTAGTCCACTTTGTAGAAAGTTAGGGTTCCAATTGGAGTCATATTCACCGTGAAATCACGGTATCCTCAAATTTTACTAATCATTCTGACGCTTACAGGCAGTCTTAACAAATTTACTAATCATTGTGAAGTAACAAGAACGACATTCAATCCTTTGCCATTGATGGCTCATTTGGATTATTGAAACCTTGATGTTTATCTAAGCAAGTCCTCAGAAATTTATGTTTAACCCTTGCATGTTTTAGGAAATCCATGGTTCACTGTCCTATCTGAAAGAATTCCAGCTTCTTTGTTTGAATTTGAACGGGCTGTAGAAGTTGATATCATGAAATTTTATCTACACCCGTGAACATTTGTATACTTGGGTGATCCCAGTGGCATGATTTGAAGGATTCCACATTAATAAGATCACATTATTAGTTCAAAGCGCATGTGATTCCTAAACTACAAGTAAGTCGATGGCGTTTACAAACTAGGTTTCAGGTGATTCAAGAGCATCTGTGGCTATTTACAATCATACAATAAGAACATGGTTTATTTCAGACTGATCTGGGATTAGGCTAACAATGAGTGTATAACTCTTTAAGTAAAATCAGCAAGAGGTTACTTTTGATAATTTCATCGGCAAAATGGCAAAGTCACAATTAGATGTATTTAATTGTATCCTTCCGAGTCCCAAGCAATGGCCTATATTTGGAGCTATATTATTTTTTCCAAGGAGGCCTTGTGAAAATTTGACCTCCTTGCTTAATATGAATTCAAGGATGGAAGTTTTTTTTGAAATTTAATGGCAAATGTTTGTGACATAATTTTTTTGTTTATAGTTTTCTGAAATGCTTATGCCCTGTCTATAAAAGCCAAAATCTGAGAGGAAAGACCTGAGCACTCGATATAGGTTGAAGTGGCCAGGTGATATCCTAGTGGTATAAACCTTTCCCCTTCATGAGTTTGAATTTCACTCACTCCCTGCTGTCTTTAAAAACTTAAAAAAAATAATCTAGGCAGTGTAACATGCTGGTGGAGGACTAGAAGTTTTAAAGATAGGAATTGGCAAAATACTAGTGTCCCATAAATCACTAGGGTCTTGTGTATATTTCTCAAGATGCTTGCATGGAATCTGAATATGATAGATTGAATCTCATCATACATTCATATTTTTATTCGGTCCTTTGGAGGTCACAGCTCTATTTGTGAAGGGGAAGGGTAAAAGTGCTAATAATATTTGGAGAATGCTAATAAATCAAAATACCCTTGATGGATAAATAAAATAACTACTGCTAGATATTCTGAATCATCTTAAATCCTTGAATCTCTAATTTTTAATTTCATTCCGTTTGAACATTCAAGAATATCACATAACAAATAAAAGGTCTTTGACGTCCTAATTCTAAACATGTAGGCTGTAGCCTCATCATATATGGGTCATGAAATAGCATGTACACCGGTCTTCTGTTTGAAAAAAAGGGTATGCTCTTTTGGTTAGCAATTCATTGTGGTTACAGAATTGATTTAGATATATACTTTTATATTAACCTTTTTTTGATGATATAAACAAAAAGTACAAATAATTTGCCTATTTTGGAACTTTTAATCTTTCAATAAAACAAGAACCTTGTAAATTTTGAGCATGATTTGTTTGGCATTTGGCTACCAAATTCAAAATGAACTTGTTCTGTCATTAGGCTAGGAGAAAAGTGCCTCATTTTGCCACTTTACCTTCTTGCACATTACAGTCTTTGCTATATGCTGATAAAATCACTATATCCATGGTATTGAAACAAAGAAGTGTAGATGGTTGTCTAAATAGATGATGGGCATAATTATCAGCATTTCCAATTGTTGTTTTTCTTTTAGTTATCAGTTGTTATATTTGTACAAAATGATGTTGTAGATTAGTTGCACTGTCTTGCGTTTTTTTGTTGAGAAACCGGTTTTTGCTGAATAAAATTCTCTTATATCTTCCTTGTCCCGTATTCAGATTGCACCGTTTTTTCTTTTTCTAATATAGGATAATGTTCAGCTGGTTTATCCAACTTTATTCATATGACAGTTTATTCTCCACTTATTTTGGTTTTATAGGGAAATAGAGAAGGCAAAACCCAAGGAGCTGCCAAAGAAAGATCTTCCCAAGGACAATTAAGCGGAGGTACAACACTGATGGCTAGGGTTAAAATAACAAAACATCCAATGTGATCCCCTCAAGAACATGTTAATTCGTACGTAAAAATCCCTAGTCTGGCTTGTTTTCTTTAGCACATACGTATCTTTTTGGGCATATAATGGTTTTCTTATAAGTAAAAAAATTAAAATTTCATATTTTTGCTTGTCTTTTGCTGGTAACAAGTACATAGAGTAGTTTTCTTGTGTTGTTGAAGGTTTCCTTTTCTTGTATTCCATTTCAATTTTCTTGACAGGTTGCTTCTGGATAGCCCCATGTTTGGCTGAATTACATTCAGCAACCACTATTCATCTGTAAGTTCAGTTTGACGCTTAGATGTTTGCCAAGTAAACATTCTCCAAGAGAACATCCTAGAAGACACCACATGACTCTAGTATTCTCCACAAAAAGAACTGATGAGAAACCATGGTCTATCTTCTTTTCTTTTGTGTGTTTTCCATATCTAGCATTCCATTTAAGGCGTACTTAGCATTCCATTTAGGGGCCGTTAAGTGGGAAGTGCTAACCGGGTAAGACTGTTGTGTACCAAGTGTTTTGTAGTAAATGCTTACCGATAAAAAAAATCTCTTAAAAACCCTAATCGCAAAAATGGGTATGCAAATTGACCCAATAAGTGAAATAAATGCTGGCCGAGTAGGTGGAGGAAGATGAGTCCCTAGGTAAACATGGTAACCGTGAGTTGGTAAGACATCTCACAAGTTTAGCTTGCAGGTCGTCTTGTGGGAATGTCCCTAGGTAAAATGATCTCTTAGAAGATCCTTTCAATTGGCTAGAATCCCGTATCGGTTATGATTCTCGGTCTTTGCCATGCTCACCCGGTAAGATAAGTGATCCGGTTAACGCTTATCCCATTAGCGTTTGGTAAACCGTCCCTAAGTGAGTTTTTCTTTCGGAAGCCTTGCATGTTCCAAGATCATACGAAATGGACCCATAATGACCTTCTCATATGACTTGGCAAAGCAAAGAAGACCTTAAGCTTGTTGGATTCGTCATAGCAAACTTCCACAAGTGTATCATCATTCATTTGAGATACGTGTCGTGAACATTAATGATATCTTACATTTTTCGTCACTCAAAGAATCAGGTTTATTTGTGTCTGTAGTGAAAGCATCGGTAGCAATACCATATTGTGTCAATGGTTTGTTGAAGTGTTTGTAGATTTTCGTTCTTGTAAACATTTTTCCTTCTTGGTTAGGTTTTATGTAACTCCATCTTCACTACTCATCTCCTTGTGATAGATCCTCGATTTAAGATTGCGTTTGGTACATGAGATTGGATGAGATGAGATAAAGCTCATTCTGTCATGTTTGGCACGACATGGGACGTGGATAAGTACAGCGACTTGATGGGACGAAAAAAGACTATTTTTTCCATCTATTTCATATAACATAATATGGTATTTGGTTTAATTGTCATCACTGTCCATCACTATCACCGTCCACCATCTTCATGTCCTCCACAACCATCGTCTACCATCGGCCATCACTATGACTGCCATCCCCACCAACCACCTCTGCCTCTGTCTTTGCCACAATCACCACCTCCTCTTCCACTACCACCATATGAATCACTAAACAACATTTAGGGACGACTTGTCCAATCAAATTCTCTTGGGTCCTAGTTATGCCAAATCCCATATTTGTTCAGTCATGTTTAATTCTGTTTATATACCAAATGCTACCTTAGCTATGTTGCTCTATTTATGCCCTATACCATATTTAATTTGTAGAAGTAGGAGAAACTTAAGTTGCATAATCCAATTGCATTATTATGGTTCTATGAAATGTTTTGTGGCCATATAATTAGTTTGATGTCTAAGAGCTCGCTCTCAGACAAATGCATTAAAATGGAGATTTTGCGGATTTTAAGTTTCTTTTCCTAACAAATTCAAAAGAAGTAAGAGAGAGAGTGTGTGTGTGTGTGAGATATCTAAAAGATTTACATCAATCTGTTTTTTGGTTTCATTATTTTTACTCGTACGATTCTATTTCAATGAGTCCCATATTTCTATTTTAATTAATACTTAGGTGGCGTTTGGTTCGCATAATGTTTTTGGATGGAATGGAATCTGTTAAAATAATTTGACTTTGAAGAAATTGGAATGAAATGTTGTCAGGTTTGACTACATGTTTGGTTGGCAGACATTGGAATGGAATCTGTTAAGGAATTGGAATATGTCTGTTTGGTTCACATAATGTAGCTTTAGAATTGGAATAAAATATTGGTAAATGACCAAAATGCCCTTTTTTGAAAATTTAAAAAAAAATTAAGACTAAAAATACTTTAATAAAATAATTATTTAATATGTAAAACAATATAAAATACACAACTCAAATATAATCATAAGCCAAAAGACGTTACTAAATCGATGGTGGTCGACGGTGGTTCAGATCGGTGGTGGTTCACAGTGATTCAGATTGATGGTGGTCCGTAGTGGTTCAGATGGAGGTGGTCAGCGGTGGTTCAGATAGGCGGTAGTGGCGGTGGTTGTTCAAATTGGTGGTGGTCGACGATGTCCAACGGTGATTCAGATCAATGGTAGTCGTCGGTTGTTGGCAATGATATAGATCGATGGTGGTCCGTTGTGGTTCTGGTGAAGATGGTCAGATGTAGTTCAGATTGGTGATGGTCAATGGTGGTTTAGATCAACGGTGCTTCAGATCGGTAGTAGTTGCTGGTGGTTCAGATCGATAGTGGTCCGTGGTGGTTCAGATGGCGATGATCAACAGTGGTTCAGATCGGTGGTGATCCATAGTGGTTCAGATCGCGGTTATCAGCAGTGGTTCAGATTGACGGTGAATCAGATTGGCGGTGGTTCATATCAGTGGTATTCGGTGGTGGTTCAGATCGGTGGTGGTCAACGATGGTTCAGATCGGTGGTGGTGGTCAGTGGTGGTCCAAATGGCTGTTATCGGCAGTGGTTTAGATTGACGGTGAATCAGATCGATGGTGGTTCAGATCGGTGGTAGTCGGTGGTGGTGGTCGGCGGTGGTTCAGATTGGTGGTGGTCGGCGATGGTTCAGATTGGTGGTAGTCGGTGGTGTTGGTTCAGATCGGTGGTGGTTCAGATTGGTGATAGTCGGTGGTGGTCAGCGGTGGTCGACTGTGGTTCTGATCGGTGGTAGTCGGTGGTGGTGGTGGTGGTGGTGGTCGGTTGTGGTTCAGACCGGTGGTAGTCGGTGGTGGTGTTCGACAGTGGTTCAGATCGGTGGTAGTCGGTGGTGGTGTTCGACGGTGGTTCAGATCAGTGGTGGTGGTCGGCGGTCGTGGTGGTCGGCGGTGGTTCAGATCAATAGTTGTCGAGAGGTGGTCGACGATGGTCATATTGAGTTTTATGAGATTATAGTATATTAGGTTAAGGACATATTTGGTATAATGAAGATAGAGATTTCATTCTATCAAAGTACCATGTAGTTGCTAAGGAATGTTAAATTCCTTTATTTGTGGAATTTGTAGGATTTTGAAGATTTCTTTCGTGAAAAATAATGAACCAAACGAGGGAATGGAATTTGGTCAATGGAATTCAACATTCCAATTCCATCATATTCCTCCAGAATCTGCGAACCAAACGTCGCCTTAAAGTTTTTTAAATATTTTTTTTGAATAAATGAACCATTGTACCTTTAAAAATTAATTATCTACGTCATTTAAAAAAAACTATTTGTAATCGGCTAGGAATATTTTAAAAGTACAAAAAACGTAAAATCAATTTTAACGTTTACAAATCCTACATCATTTATCATCGTTCATCTCCTCATTGCCCCTGTCATCTATCTCCCTCTGTTTTTCTTTGTTTTTCAATTATCTCTTTTTTTATTTGTCTTCATGCACCCTTAAATTGTTGGAAAAGAGAGAAAAGACAGAACAAATCAAAAGGAGGAAAATTTATGGTAGGGGACAATAACAGCGACCGGTGGTGATGGAGGGGGGATGACAATGGGTTGGTTGGTGAGAGGGACAGGCCGACCCTGGCCACGTGCAGCCCATGCGGTCGCACAGGACATCACAGCTTAAAAGGGCATCAAGTTGTCATTTATTACTAGTTTGGGGTTTAATAATTTGAGTTTTACTTGTTACTTACTATGACAATAATTTAGATGTAATTTTACTAATTTTAGTTAAACACTGATTATAGTTTTCCTTGTCTTTTTAAGTCCCATATATTGAAATAAAGTTTCTATTTTGTTAATTTCAATTTGGAAAAGGGAAAACTGAAAAAAAATGAAACACGATCTTAATCTAGAATTTATCCTTTTATATTTTGTATTCGGAGTTTTGGTTTTTATGTCCCTCCATTGTATTTTTTTACTATAACTAATAAAAATCAACATGGGGATGAGATACTTAGTTTGAATATGTTCTAAACTCTTTAACAAATCGCATGTCTTTTTGTTTCATTAGCTTAAAAAAATAGGCTTAGGGACATTTTTTATTATTTTCGCACAGGGCATAAAAAAATCTTAGAACCGGCCCTGGAGAGGGAGCGATGTCGTTTGGTGCGAGAGGTTTGAATGGTGTGGAGTTTAAAAAAGGTAAAATTGATTCAAGCTTCCTTTGTTTTTTTACTTTAAAACCTTCCTAAGCTAGTTACCGGAGATTTTTTGTTTTAAAGATATAAATAACCAATTTTTACAAGTTTGATGGTTTATTTATTAAAAAATCTAAAAAAGTTTAATTATTCAGTTCATTATATTTTTTAGATGTTCTGAAAAATATTTATTACTCATAGCCTGGTTCATCATGAATCGTAATAATTACACCATTTTGGTTTACTTTGACAAAATATAATAATTCATGGCTTTGTTTGCGAAGTATTGCGTTAACAGGAAGTACAAAAAGATCTGAACTTTTGGTATTTTTAAGGGGTGTTTGGGATTGCTTATTTGAAATAACTTATGTTTTTTTTTCAAAAGTGTTTATCAACTTATTATAAGTTAAAAGAAGTTAACTTTTTCAAATACTTCTTATTACCGGTTTGACACCGGTATAAGCTGTTTATCCAAACACTCAAAAGTACTTATTACCGGTGTTACACCGAAATAAGTCAATAAGTTGCACTTTAGAAGAATGTACCTTATTAATGTTGACATTCAATTAGAAATAATCCAAAGTAAGGATCTCTTATTACACTTCTCGCCAAAATCCAACCCTGGTTTTGTTATGGTATACTTGTACAAATGATTTACCTCTTATATGATGTATTACAAATCATTTTCCACAATTCTACTAAATACCACAATACCAAAAGATTGCAGCAACTAGTTCGGAACCACAATTCTCATTTGGGTATGCTCACTTTACAAATATTCCAAACATCATCAAAAATTCAAATCTTTCATGGAGCATCAAACATGATTTAGAAAAGGGTAACATTAATGAAAACATTCAGTGTGTTCTACTGCTACTTGCGTTTTGTCGTGATTCCAGGAAAAGTCGTACGGTGGAGAAGATGAGTGACGGTTCAGCCATTGCACCGGTTCCGTAGTCACCACAAGCGAGCCTCTTTGAGACGGGTGGTATAAGCGTGATTCCCAATTCATCGATCGACATAAGATGCCTTTCCGTGAACGGGTTGGTCCACATAAATGTGTTCATAGCGGGCGCCACAAAAATAGGTTTTTCATAGTCCCACGCTCGGATGATGCTTGTCAGCAAGTTGTCACACAGTCCACCAGCAATCTGGTTCAGCAGATTGAAACAAAGTCTGATCAATGATATTGAGGAATAAAACTAAGTACTCTCTTTCGAAAGTACTAAATGACAATTAATTAAGGATAAATTTGTAATTTACATAATAAAATGTGTAATATATTGCATATTTCTAAAATTGTTTGCCTTTCTCATTGTTTACATTTACTATGGGACAGAGAGAGAAAAACACATGGTTTCACAAATCAAACACGAATGGAATAAAATCCTATCAAACACAGTTTTTGTTCTATTCTTTTGAATAGTTTGGATTAAGATTTTTCCAAACCGTCATAAATGGGTTCTATAAATGTTGTAGACCGCTCAACCCAACCTGCGTACACCCCTAGTTGTATGGGGAACAACAGTGGTGTGATGATGACGACAGAGTAGTGTGGGTAGGTGCAGTTATGACAACAACTTAACGGTGGTGGTGGTGGTGGTGGTGGTGGTGGTGGTCAAATTGGGTGCAAAAATTGTTTGTTTTTTGGAACCAAATTATAGCATTTGCCACGGAATGGAATTCAAATCCTTCACTTATGTCGAGGAAAGATTAAATCCCTCAACCGTGGAATTAGGCAGAATCCAATCAATTCAATCCACAAACCAAACACCATCATAAGATATGGTCAAAAGAATTTGTCATTCCAATTCCGTCAAATTCTTTAGAATTCCACCAAATAACCCCTTCGTTTTTCCTATTTTTTGTAATTACTATTGTATATACTTGTGTGACCTTCTTTCTATACACTAGTCTTATTTTGCCTCTTGTTATACCAACACAAAGTCGGTGCTTTGTATTTCCTTTGTTATACCAACTCACTCTATAGGATTAATCCAATGTTTGTGGGATTTCAATTCCGAACTTTCCTTTAAACTAAACGTGGGATTGGAATGAAATTCAATTCCAAATCCTACCAAATCCCGCAAACCAAAAAGGTCCTTAGTAGTAAGTAAGATTTTGAGATGGATTCAAGAATGCACTTAGAAGAGATAATTTGTGATAATTGTAGAATCTTATTGCATTTTCACTATTGTGAAAATAGGCGGATAGTCGGTTGGCATGCAATTCATCACAGTAAAAGTTTCAAATCTCTATTTGTTGTTCGATTTTGAACTAGAGAAGGGGAAACATATAAGAAGGTAAATTAGGCATGTATAAGAAAATATAGTACTCCCTCGGTCCTAAAATAAAAGTCCACATTTCTATTTTCGTTGGTACCAAAATAAGTATCCACTTTCAATGGTAAGTGTATACTGTCAAATTATACCCTTAATTATGAGATGGAAAAATGCATTACTCCTGCTATCATTGTTAGTGAAATTTTCATTCAGCTAATTATAAAGTGTAGTCATTAAATATTTCTTAAACTGTGAGTTATTTATTGCGGACATTTATTTTGGGACAAAGAGGGGCTGACTAGCATTATGGAAAAACCAAAGCCTGTCACCTTGATCAAAGGCAATTTCGTCAGCAAATACTCAAGTATGAACATCTATCGACCGTTGAATAAAAATCTAAAGAGGCCAACATTTTCAAACAGAAGAATACAAATGATTGAAAATAAAATAGGGTACGAGTAGTTAGATTACCTTGCCAAGCGTATTTGCTGACAATGGGGCGATTACCATTATATCAGCCCACCGACGGAGCTCTATGTGAAGCACACTATCTCCTATCTTGGACCAAGAGGACCATTCATGCTCATCGGTATAAAGAATCACATCCTTGGGAAGTGATGTTCGATCAATGAAATGTAAAGCCGCCTGTGTTGCAACGGCTTTTACATCCGCCCAATCTGAGAAACAGCTGCAGAGGTTCCCAAACTTTATGGCAGCTACACTTCCACTTGCTGCAAGCAGAATTCGGGGTTTTCTAGGAGCAGTACTGACTTGCATTGGCTCCCTTATTCCATGTATAGGCTCGGCATATGCCATAATCTGTGCAATAAACTACTCTTAGATTATTCACTAAAAACTAGAGTTAAACAAAATACAATGAGACTAAACTGGTAGTTGTTTTAACTTCTTAAAGAAGGCCATTATATTTAACACGTTAAAATGCAACAATTAGCTTTATAAATGGGACTAAACACCCGTACTGGTCTCGTCTTTATGCTTATAAAAATGCTATAAAATGATCCCTGGAGTTCATATTTTCTAATTGTACCAATCTGCTAGAAGTTCATTTCTAGAAATTTGTATGGATATTATAGCACACCCCTAAAATTTTCTAAGATCACAACAAAAATAAAAGCCTCCGGCCTCCTCTGAATTCTGATGCCTCTTGGACCGCAGTGCAATCTCAGACAAGATGATTCAGTCCCTTTCCATTGAATCCTACCCTAAGTTTTTCCGTGGACCCCATGATGGTTAGAAAACTGATCCGTTCTAATGCACATCTCTGGTATTAGCCGATTACAAAGTACTACGCAATATTGCAATATCCACTCTTGAAGGATAAACCTTTAAGCAAATGTCATTAAATTGCTAGTTTCATATGTTTTAAAAATGAACATCTGAATTCATCATTTTACAGAAAAATAACTATTATAAAGTTTTTTTTATCACCATTCCAGAAGAAACATAAACCACAAAATAGCTCTCCCCAAAATAGGGGGGGGGGGGGGNTAAGGGGGGTGCACACCGTGGTCAAATCTGCATGAAAAACCGCGGGGAATCATTAGTATTAAGTATTATGCTCCCGCACCCCCTATCTCTTAAAGGCTCTGGAACCATAGTTGATGACTATGTCTAGAGACTCCAGTTGCAAAGATGAAGTACAACTTCGAAACATGCACAAAACTTTGTACATGAAGCCTCAGAAGTTATACCTACCGAACACAGCCTAAGCATATGCAAAGTCCGACCACTGAACTAACTTATCACCAGGACTACACGAAAAAAAAACGTGTTTATGTTGCATACCAATCTATTAATAGCCTAGTCACAATTTTCTGTCTTTTTAGGGTTAGTATTCATACAATAATATAAGAAATAGAGCAAAGGGCACACATACACATGAGGGTATAATGGAGCAAACCCCTAGCTTGATTAAAGCATTTGGCTCTTTTAGATATGACATAAAAAGCACATACAAATGGACAATTTCCAACCAGCAATGGACAAGAATACAGGGCCTGTCAGAAGACATATATAATTCACAGTTTGGAGTTGGTAATTAGTCATCTCATTCAAATCTCTTTTTCACTACTTCCCCCATGTCCATTCGACCAATCTCCACCTCTCTCATCGATCTCTTTCCAAAACAAATCTCTTTTTCTACCGGTGCACACACACAGTTCTATGTTGAAAATGACAAAATGGCTTCAGAGTTCAGTCTCTCCTCAATATTCGCATTTGCTATCTTGTATCTCAGAAATTATTTCTACCGAGCAAAGCCTAAGTTTATGCAATTGCTCCAACCTCCTCTTAGCGTGAATCAATTAATTGACAGAAAATTGCTGCACTCACTGTTGTTCTCTACTTCTCTATTAGTGCTTTCTTCTAAAGATATAAAAAATGAACAAATTAATACAACTCCTAACCTAACATATGCATACTAACATATGACGAACGCAGTACAAGAGAAACAAGTATGAGCAGCAAAAACTTCGCTATTTGCGGCGCTATTGCGCTGCAATAGTGGATTGTGGACTACGGTAAAATTGCAGTGAAAATTCCATTTCCGATATTAGCGGCACCGGTATTTGAGGTGAAATTGTGGACCGATATTTTAGTTTAAAACTCTTTAGAACTATGTTGACTCGGATGCTGAACCTATTGCTTGCGATTAGCTCGTTTATGAACACTTTTTTTATTTTGTTTTGTGAAGTTTGTTTAAGTTGTTGTTTTGACGTTGAAACTATATTTTTAATTAATGCATATGATATGTTTACGTATGCATACATATATATATTAGATATAATTCTAAGAAATATTATATGAATCGCTATTTTTGGACTGCTATACCACCGCGTTGGTCCTGACCACAATTTTGTATTTTCAACAGAATAGTGAGCAGGTACACTGAAAACATATGAAAGGTACGACCAAAAACATGAATCACACTAGAGACAAACAAGTAAACCAATTTCAAGTTCAAGTTTAGTATTAACATTTTCTGCAATTTATCATAAGGTAGAGTGCATTGTTAAACATCCTTCAAATTTCAGAGGAAATGTTAGTTTTGAAGTTTTAAGTCAATGACAAGCATCTCACATGTCAAAGTGTACCTTTTCCGGGAAGGGCCCTCAACAATGAATGATTAAAGTCATGTCCATATTACAAACCCAAGACAATTTGCGCAATCCCGAATCCTACTAAGTTGAAAAACTTGAAATATACACAAAATTTATCTGCATATATAAGATTCATTATTCGATTCTTTGTAACACAAAAAACTAACACCGTCGGACCACTCCCTGATGATACTCCTCAAGATGCTTGACAACCAAAAATTAAGTATAAGATTAAAACTCCCTATACTCTAGGTTCTTTGGCATATATTCACACCTACAGACCAAGTCACACTGATTTTTTACATAAACAGAGGTTCAAAATTTTCTAATCCTTCTGTTCCAAGTGAATATTGAATTTTAGACAAGTAGAACTGAAATCTAACATTAAATTTCACATGTATACTTCCAATCCTCATAAAAAGATTTGACATAGGCTTAATATGGAGTATAGAGTAGTTTATTGTCACACTTATGAACAGAAATCGATAGCTAAGACCTCAAATTGATTGTACATCTTCCTGTTCCATCGAATTTCACATTTTCTTAGCAAATCACAAATCCTGCTATAAATCCCAACTCTCCAGTAACGAAAAGGAAAAAAGACCTTTACAATCGACAAGTAATCGCGTGATGAAGTATGTCAACAAAGAACGGATAAAAGGAAAACCAGAAACTGAAAGATCCAAACTAAATATAACAACACACACAAAATTATATGAATCGCAGTGTTGAGAAAGGCTGAAGAAAGAACAAATACCTCGAATCAAGAAGTTCCGTTCACTATTTTGTTTCCCGGCCGTCGGTGTTTGAACTGCGTACGGTGCTCCGTTTACGCCAGAGAAGATGGAAGCGTTGGGTCAGCGGAGAGTAAAGAGAGACTAGTGACGGTAGAGAGACGGAATTAAATGATCTATAAATTTTTGAAATTTTCCATCGCTAAAATTTTCGTTTTTGCTCTTATCTTTTGATAAATAGCAAGAGTCCCCCCTGAGGTTTTACAATTTTCTAAAACTAACCAAATTAACAAATTACAACATTTTTATAATGTATTTCGTTTCATAACGCTGAATTTTATTTATTTGTCATTATCATCGTCTTTCTTTATATGTAATACAACCAAGTGAAAGATTACATAATCACGTTAAAAGTGTCATTTAGGTGTCGTTTACCAAACGTTTAACCGAGTAAGCGCTTATCAAGTAACATTACCTCACTGGATGAATATATGGTAAGGACCAAGAATCTTACCCGGTAAGAGCGAGACAAGAACCATGAGTCTTACCCGGTAAGTGAGGGCGACGACCCTTACCACGGTAAACGCTTACCGTGTAAATTGTTGCATACGATGTCGTTTTGATAGTCTAAATCTTACCTGGTATATATATATATATATATATATATATATATTTGAATTTTTTTTATTTATATCTATTGACAACATTTTATATCCATTTACCTGGTCTAAATCTCATTCTTTTTTGGTTTAGGGTTTAAGGTCTATAAGTTTCATTCTCATTTTTGGTAATTCTTGGAGCACCATATTCTCCAAAAAGAAAAATCTAATTCTCGTTATCCATTTACATGTTGTTATATAACATAAATTTAATAAACAGTAAAAGAATTGGATTAAGTTATAGATTAAGCAATATATAATTATATAAATATGTACATAGAGGAAGGTTCAAATGAGAACGCTAACTATTTAAGAAAAGAAGAATAAAAAAGTCGTTAATGTACAATTTACAATAACATCAAAAAATGGAAGGGGGTGACTTTTGAACCTGTATGATTTTGAACGTGAATATATATATACTAGAAACGTACTCGCGCAATGCAGCGAGATACATCGTGATTTTAATATTTCATTTTATTATTTATCTCAG